AATCTTACCGCATTCATACAAACACCAACGCAGCTCAATTTCTAAAAAGACGGGGTTTTAGCCATACATACCTCAATAGAGCTTTTCCTTAAATTCTTACAAAGTTTCGGGACTCTTAGCAACTTCAATCTATTTTATAGGAATTACACATTGAACCAAGAACTAGAGACATGATTAAGATTCTAGCTCATCTGAGCATATTATCAAGCACTAAATGTGCATTGTGATCTTAGGTCCCTTTTGTGAGAGATTTCTTCAATCTTATACTCCAATTGCTATCCTTTTAGTTCACAACCTCCCCATACCCCATTATCTTTTATGCATGCAAGATTATTATCCCTTATACCCATGAACCCACTTGCTAATCACTTTCTTTAATAGAAATTTCGAAATTATAGATTAGGGCACAAGTTCTTACCTCTTAGGGTGAAGACCTAATGATTTCACTTGACAATCTTCAAGGATTTGGGGCAAGAATTGAGTGAGGACTTGATGAAGATCACTCCCTCTCTCTCTAGACTTCCTCTCTCACTCTATATGCAGTAAAATAACATAAAAAGGGTCGGATGGGGTGTTTTTAATGGGATGGGGTCGGGTTTTATAAGTTAGAAAATAGGAGCCCCGAAACAATCTACGATTGCATATGCGATCGCATAATTGACATGCGGCCCGCGAAATGGACCGCAAAAATGGCTTCAGAAACCTGAACAAACTGCCCGAGTATGCGACAGGTATGCGGTCCGCATACCTGTTCTACGGTCGCATAATGCACCGCAGAACTGGCCCTCGCAAAATTCCAAGGGAATTATGATTTGACAATGCGGCCCGCATATTGATTATGCGATCGCATAGTTGGCCGCATAGTTGACCTCAAAATTACCATCAAACTGTCTGACTATGCGGCAACTATACGGTCCGCATAGCTATTATGCGACCGCATAAATGCACTTTTCTGAAAAACATTTTTCCTTAACTTTTTAATGCATAGATAAGTCCAAAGGGTCCGAGCTCTCTGGTTTTGAGTAGAAATTTTCACGGGGCCTTACATCCTCCCCCACTTAGGATCATTCGTCCTCGAATGAGGATCAAGGTTCACTCATTAGCAATCTTTATGCAACCTCAGCTTTTCACAATCATGGAATATATCAACAGCCCCAAATTTGGCTAACTCCCTAAATTTCCAAAAATTTTGCCAAAGTTTCCTTTGTATCTAGGTCTATCCACCTGTCAGAGAGCCCCAGAAACATATCCTAACAACATATACTCATTTCATAGACATAATATAACTTGCTCAACACTAACCATAGCCGCATAGGCAACATATAACCAAAACAAAATAGAACAGTTTTACATAGATCAAATCAAGGATACAGAATTCATAGGGACCAAATGCATGAAAGCTATTACATGGGTATACAAACAAATGTGGTTACTTCCACCTCATTTCTTCCTTGGCTTCCCAAGTGGCTTCCTCAACCTGCTGGTTCCGCCATAACACTTTTACTGAGGCAATTTCCTTATTTCTCAATTTTCGGACTTTCCTATCAAGAATGGCAACTAGAACTTTCTTCATATGACAGTTCTTCGTTAACCTCAATAGTTTCAACTGCCACAATAGTGGACGGGTCTCCCACTACCTTCTTCAACATAGACACATGGAAGACTGGGTGTACCAATGACATCTCGGGTGGCAGCTCGAGCTTGTATGCCACCTGACCAATCCGCTGAATGATTTTGTATGGTCCGACATACCTTGGACTCAATTTTCCTTTCTTCCCAAACCGCATGATACCCTTCATGAGGGAAACCTTCAAAAATACCCAATCATCTTCTTTGAACTCCAAATCTCTACGACGAACTTCCGAATAAGACTTTTGGCGACTCTGAGCAGTTTTCAACCTTTCTTTAATAATTTTGACTTTCTCCATGGCCTGGTGCACAAGGTCTGGCCCTATCAATTCCGCCTCTCCAACCTCAAACCACCCAATAGGAGACCTATATCTCCTACCATACAATGCCTCAAATGGCGCCATCTGGATACTAGCATGGAAGTTGTTGTTATAAGCAAACTCTATGAGTGGCAAATGATCATCCCAGCTACCTTTGAAATCAAGAGCACAAGCACACAACATGTCCTCAAGCGTCTGAATAGTCCGCTCTGCTTGCCCGTCGGTCTGAGGGTGAAAACATGTGCTAAGATTTACCTGCGTGCCCAAACCTTGCTAAAATTTCTTCCAAAAGTTGGCCGTGAACTGAGCCCCTCGATCTGAAATGATTGAGACTGGAGTACCGTGCAACCTGACTATTTCCTTGATATACAACTGAGCATACTTTTCTGCTGTGTCAGTAGATTTGACTGGCAAGAAGTGCGCTGATTTCGTGAGTCGATCCACGACCACCCATAACCCTACCACAAAATCCATGTTGATCATCTCTCATTTCCACATTGGAATTTCTATGCTTTGAGCCAATCCACCGGGCCTTTGATGTTCGGCCTTCACTTGTTGACAGTTCAGACATCTTGCTACAAAGTCCGCCACCTCCTTTTTCATGTTGTTCCACCAATAAACTTCCTTGAGATTTCATGATACATTTTTGTAGAACCTGGGTGCACAGAATACCTGGAAGTGTGAGCTTCTGCCATGATCCTTTCCCGAATACCGTCAATATTCGGAACACATAGGCGGCCTTGGTACCGTAGGGTACCATCATCCATGCCAAAGGAAAAAGCTGTGGTCTTATGTTTATGAATCCCCTCCTTCAGCTGTGCTAATAGTGGGTCGTTGAATTGCTTCTCTTTCACCTCCGCCACAAGCGACGATTCAGCCCTATTCTGCATAATTATCCCTCCTTCATTAGAGTCCGCAAGGAGAACTCCCAAACTAGCCAATTGATGAACCTCCCGGGCCAACTGCCTCTAATACGCCTTCAAATGAGCCAAACTTCCCATAGATTTTCGACTAAGAGCGTCCGCCACAACATTAACCTTTCCCGGGTGATAGAGAATATCAATATCATAGTCCTTGAGTAACTCTAGCCATCTTCTTTGTCTCAGATTCAACTCCTTCTGCTTGAAAATATATTGAAGGCTCTTGTGGTCCGTGAATACATCCACATGGACCCCATATAGATAATGTCGCCAAATCTTTAGCGCAAACACCGCTGCTGCAAGCTCTAAGTCATGGGTTGGATAGTTCTTTTCATGATTCTTGAGTTGCCTAGAAGCGTAGGCTATAACCTTGCCGTGTTGCATTAACACATACCCAAGCCCGATCCTTGAAGCATCGCAATACACCACAAAACCCTCTATACCCTCTGGCAGGGTTAATATCGGTGCTGAAGTCAATCTTGATTTCAATTCTTGGAAGCTCATTTCACAAGCATCGGACCACTGGAACTTAACAACTTTCTGGCTCAATTTAGTCAAGGGAGAGGTAAGAGTAGAAAACCCATCCACAAACCTTCTGTAGTACCCAGCCAAACCCAAGAAACTGCGAATCTCTGTTGGAGTGGTAGGTCTAGGCCAATTCTTCACTGCTGCAATCTTTTGAGGATCAACAATGATTCCTTCCCTGGAGACGACATGACCCAAGGAAGCGACAGATTCAAGCCAAAATTCACATTTCGAAAATTTCGCATACAATTGGTGTTGCTGAAGAGTCTGCAGAACTGCCTTGAGATGGTTAGCATGATCCTCTCGACTTCGGGAATACACAAGAATATCGTCAATGAATACTATCACAAAGGAGTCTAGAAAAGGCTTGAAGACTCGATTCATAAGATCCATGAAGGCTGCCGGGGCATTTGTTAGCCCAAAAGACATTACCAGAAATTCAAAGTGCCCATACCGAGTCCTGAAAGCTGTTTTCGGAATATCTTGCTCCCTTATCTTCAGTTGATGATACCCGGACCGCAAGTCAATTTTTGAAAAACACGTAGCACCTTGCAATTGATCAAACAAGTCATCTATCCTTGGTAGAGGTTATTTGTTTTTGATTGTGACTTTGTTAAGTTGCCGGTAGTCAATACACATCCGCAGCGACCCATCTTTCTTCCTTACAAACAAAACCGGTGCGCCCCATGGTGACACACTTGGCCGGATGAAACCCTTTTCTAACAAATCCTTCAATTTTTCCTTTAGCACTTTCAATTCCCATTCTGTAAGGTGGAATTGATATAGGCTGCGTGCCTGGCATCACATCGATCCCAAAATCAATCTCCTTGTCTGGTGGAATCCCAGGAGCTCATCTGGAATGACATCCGGAAATTCATTCAGAACTGGCACGGAGTCAACGCTAAGTGCCTCAGCATCGGTGTTCGTAACCCAAACTAAATGGTAGATACACCCCTTCTTGATCATCTTCGCGGCATTAAGGTAAGAAATAAACCGACCTTTAGGCCCTACATTATCCCTCTTCCATTCAACAACGGGGTCATTAGGAAACTCAAGCCTCATAGTTCTAGTTCGACAATCAAGCTTGGCAAAACATGAATAAAGCCAATCCATTCCCACTATTACATCAAAATCGACCATTCCCAACTCAATGAGATCGGCCATGGTATCCCTACCACGTACCGTGACAACACAACCTCTATAAACTCGAGCAGCCGTAATTGACTCACCAATCGGAGTAGACACCGAAGTGGCTCATGAAGCTGATCCGGTTCTATCCCAAATTCCATAGCAACAAAAGGAGTAACATAGGACAAGGTGGAACCGGGGTCAATAAGTGCATACACATCATGAGATTGGACAGTCAGAATACCTGTAACAACATCTGGAGAAGCCTCTACAGTCTGGCGACCACTCATAGCATAGAACCGGCTGGGTCTTCCCGAACTCTGCGCACCACCCCTAGCTGCACCACGCCCCGCGGGTGCTGGGGTACCTCGAGCTGGAGAGGGGGCTGAAGATGTAGCAGCCGATGGGCTGGCTGGCTGTGCTGTGCCCCTACCCGCTCCTTGGCGGGATACACGACAATGCCTCTGAATATGACCCCTCATCCCACATCCATAGAATACGGGTAACTCCAAGTAGCAAATCCGTGAGTGTATCTTCTCGCACCTGGGGCACGGGGACCTCTGCTGCCGCTGGGACCTCTCTCCTGACTGACCGCACTGGTGGGATCCCCTGTCGCCCTAACTGGGCCTAAAACGACTCCACCACTGCTGCTGGATGGGCCCTGATGGCGGTGCACAGGCTGAAGACTGTGCAACAGATTGGGACGGCCCTGATGATCCTCCCCAAAAAGCTGATCTTCCCCCACCTAGTGACTCACCCATGTTGCCCATAGACCGGGTCTTTCTGTTACCCTCTCTCTCCATTCTGTTCTTCAGTTTACGATTCTCCGTGGCCTGAGCAAATGCCACCATCTTCCCATAATTCATGTCAGAATTCAAATCATCTATAGAAGCCTCATTAATAGTCAAAGGATTAAGGCCCTGAACAAATCGGCGCACCCTAGCCTCCATCGTGGGCAATATGTGAATAGCATATTTGGACAGGCGGGCAAACTCCATATGGTAATCCCACACTTCTGCTACCTTGATTCAGATTCTCAAACTTTGCTGCACGGGCTGCCCTTGTCTCAGCAGGCAGGAAATGATCTATAAAGGTATCGGCAAACTCGCTCCACCTCGCGGGAGGGCTCCCCTCCTCACGGGAATCTTACCACAACTCAAACCACGAATAGGCCACCCCTTTTAGACGGTAGGCAGCTAACTCTACTCCCTCTGTCTCAGTCAAACACATAACCCTGAGGGTCTTGTGCATCTCATCAATAAAATCCTGAGGGTCTTCTTCCGGATTGGCACCCGTAAACACTGGAGGGTCTAACTGAAGAAATCTGTTCACCCTAGAACTGGTGGAATCCCCTTGCTGGCTAGATGAACTGGGTGCAGCACCTGACCTCTGGGCCTGAGAGGCCATCAGAAATACTAGAACCGGAAGCTGGGGCTGGAGGCGGAATAGGAGTATCAATGGGAGGGATGGTGGTACCCACCGCAGGTATAGGAACTGAGGTAGTCCGCTCCGGAATAGAAGAATCAGGTAGGGTGATAGCAGGGCGATTATCCTCCCCCGCAATATCAAGTAGTGAATCATCGGCCACTCCTGGGGTGGCACTAGCTCCTTGGCCAATTCTGGCTTTCTTCTTAGGTGCCATGTACTGAAAATTGAAGGAATGCACTAGTTAGAGGAGGAATAGTTTCACAATTGCCGCACGATCCAAAATATCAAGGAAGGGTGTTATTCCTAATGCCCAAGTAGCCTCCAACTTATAGATGTGGTCGACTTCATACCGATAAGAAGGACTCTACTAGACACGGCTCCGAGACGTCCTAGGACACTTTAAAACCTTAGGCTCTGATACCAAGTTTGTCACGCCCCAACCTCGGGAGGCGCGACTGGCGCTCAATCGAGTGAACCCAACTGAGCAAGCCTTATTAACACTTTCTACCTAACTCATTACGATTAAGGAAACCATGCTTTCGTTTATTTAGATAATAGCAAAATCGAACATTCAACATTGTTAGTTAATTTTTATATCACAAATCTTAAATCATGGCTAAGTTTCCAAGATTTCATACAGTTATAGCTTACAAGAACCAGAGTATGGAGTTACAACACAGTTCATTAACCCATCCAACACCCATACATAACCCACGCAAACGTCTACGGAGCCTCTATGGATACAAAAGACAAGTTATGACAACGCCGGCAATAAGGCTCCAGCTATACCTCAAAAGTGAAAGTCTACAATAAAAGATGTACAACATAACCCCTTGAAGGAGAAAGGGGCTCACCAAGACTTTGAGAGGAGGACACTCCGCTACGCGCGATCGGCATTATCCGCTATGGCATCGCTATTTTGAGCGGAGTCCGATCTCGACCCGATCGGCTAGGTTGCCTCATTTGAGACATATACTTCAATCACAATCTCATTTTCCCTTTTTTCGGAATTCAATATCAGCACAATACCACCATGTGTGCGGCATGACGTCCGATCTCGGCCCGATCGGCTAGGCCGCCTTACCAAGGCGTTGTTCCCTTCTCATTACTCATCTCGTTTCAATCTTTGTTTCACATATATCATTTCATAGGCACTTGGGGCCACAACTATCACATTATTTTTGGCACTAGGCCACATTTCACATCATTCCCAATTTCAATGTTAGCTTTGCAATTTAGGATAATAGGTGCACACAAGAGCAATTTAAATTGTAAGCATATATAGGACTTAACATAGATGGCACAACAAACACAGCTTCAATCTTGATTTATGGTCTAAGCATTTCAATACATGATTCGTATTCTTCGTACCTTTTCAAGTTATCAAGAATAACACATTGATCATATTGAGACACATCTTTCACGTATATAAAGTTGCAACACCAATTCATGTGAAATAACAATCAATACAACAATCCAACTTTAATCTTACCGGATTTACACAAACACCGAGCTCAATTTCTAAAAAGACGGGGTTTTAGCCACACATACCTCAATAGAGCTTTTCCTTAAATTCTTACAAAGTTCCGGGACTCTTAGCAACTTCAATCTATTTTATAGGAATTACACATTGAACCAAGAATTAGAGACATGATTAAGATTCTAGCTCATTTGAGCATATTATCAAGCACTAAGTGTGCATTGTTATCTTAAGTCCCTTTTGTGAGAGATTTCTTCAATCTTATACTCCAATTGCTATCTTTTTAGTTCACAACCTCCCCATACCCCATTATCTTTTATGCATGAAAGATTATCAGCCCTTATACCCATGAACCCACTTGCTAATCACTTATTTTAGTAGAAATTTCGAAATTATAGATTAGGGCACAAGTTCTTACCTCTTAGGGTGAAGACCTAATGATTTCATTTGACAATCTTCAAGGATTTGGGGCAAGAATTGAGTGGGGACTTGATGAGGATCACTCCCTCTCTCTCTAGACTTCCTCTCTCACTCTATATGTAGTAAAATAACATAAAAATGGTCGGATAAGGTATTTTTAATGGGATGGGTCGGGCTTTAAAAGTTAGAAAATAGGAGCCCCGACACAATCTACGATTGCATATGCGATCGCATAATTGACATGCGGCCCGCGAAATGGACCGCAAACTGCCCGAGTATGCGACAGGAATGCGGTCCGCATACCTGTTCTACGGTCGCATAATGCACCGCAGAACTGCCCCTCGCAAAATTTCAAGGGAATTATGCGATGACTATGCGACCCGCATATTGATTATGTTGGTCGCATTGTTGACCTCAAAATTACCATCAAACTGTCTGACTCTGCAGCGACTATGCAGTCCGCGTAGCTATTATGTGACCGTATAAGGACCGCATAAATGCACTTTTCTAGAAAATATTTTTCCTTAACTTTTTAATGCATAGATCAATCCAAAGGGTCCAAACCGCGGCGAGCTTCCTAACTTGGAACTACGAGCTCTCGGGTTTTGAATAGAAATTTTTACGGGGCCTTACAATTTGGGCCTTTGAAGGCTCCCGATAGTGTAAATGATACTTATATAATTCATTTAGCTATTCTGGTATGTAATAACTCTATAATAACATATTTGGAAATATTTAGTAAAGTTGGGGGGTTCTTCTTATATCTTTTGTTAAAACTGGGTAGAAATCCTGCCTATAGGATTTAATTAAGCTGGTTGAATTATGTGAGCATTATATTGCGCTTAGAAATCCTACCTATAGGACTTTCATAATCATGCTGATTCTGTATTTTACATTTGCATACTAGAGATCCTACTTATAGGATTTTCGTTCAGTTCTGTGCATTAGAAATCATGTTCATAGGATCTGTACATGTTTTCAACAAATGTGCATTAGCAAGCATGCCTATAGGGTCTTGTTATTTGAATTAACTGTCCTTCCTGGCAATTTGTTTAATTTCTGCCCGACAATTAAATCTTTTCTTTATTTATAGTCTCAATATAACCAACCGCTTTCGCGAATACTTTAGAAACTCAATTAAGTTTCTTTGAGACTTACTACAACACAATATCTTATTGATAATCAATTTTATTTCTCCAAAATAGTATAATTGGCTCTTTCAGAGCTCTCAATTAATTTGGTACTATCACATATTCATCAACATCCATATGATGAATATCTCTTTTAAAGAGAAAGTTATACCATTATGGTCATGGTCAAAATTCTATTCAAGATCTGTTCCTTGCATTACTGTTGTCTTTAATAATCACATCACCAAAAATTTTGGCGTACAATAGGTATGTGACCAATGACCATTCATGTCATAATAATGATATTATTTTCTTATTTCTTCTCAAACCTCATTCTAGAAGTGAGTGTGGTGTATTCACTACTAGTAGCACGTTCATATTCTTCCAAGAATGAATATGTATTCATAAATCACATGTTGTCACATTCACATCATGAATGGACCATAATCCCATATGTGCTCTATAAAATCTCATGTCAAATCGATGATAAATTTCACAAAGTGAAGGATTATTTTGAGAATCCTTAATATTCTCATTACCACAATGATGACGATTATAATTTCGGCTATTGCCACGTCCACATCTGTTGATACGTACCTTCATGGTAATAATTTTATCTTTTTTTAGACTTATCACATTCTCTTAGGGGAATGAGAATGAAGCAAATCCAATGGGACGAGTGTGCACTTCTTGTGTCCACAATCATACATGAATTTGATCATGGTAATGTATAGAAATTTTACCACTTCGGGTGGTTATAATTTCTTACAAACTCAATTACAGTTGTAATCAAATTTATTGTCTTTGCTTGTATTTAAAATCAAATTATGGAATTTCAAGAATTTGAAAGAGAAAAATAAAGTGAAATACTTACCTTAAATCCAGAATTTAATCATGAAGGAAGTTTATGGAATAATTGACAATCATTATGCTCAATCCCAAAGCTTCTACTCAATTAGTTAGAGTCTCGTGCTGATAACATGTTATAAAACGATAAAAGAAGAAGAAGAGTATTGCAGA